AGGCGGGTGGGAGCGCGACGAAGACGCGTCTGTTGTGGTTCCCATTAACGAAAGACAGAGAGGGAGGTCGTCGCTTACCAAAAGTGCGCCCCTACGGCGGGCATGAGACTGGCCACCGGCGGTAGGAAGACGCGTCTCGGCGTGAAAGCAGCAGCAGCAGCAGTCTTCAGCGTGACTTTTGATAAGCGACGAACTCTCTTCCTGCACAATAATAAACTGATGGCAAGATGAAACCAGGCAGACTATAAATTACACTTGGTATGAACCACCCGCCGCCTTCTGCGTGACTCGTTTCAAAGGCCCTTGACAACCACGTACCCGTGTAAACGTACTTTTACTCACGACAGATGTATTTTGCTAGACAGAATCACCGATTGGCACACGCACACACATAAACTTGCTCTCTCCCTCCCTCTCTCTCTCTCTCTCGTGGTTAAATTATGACCGTCACAGTGTGTAGTGAAAAATCTGACAGGCCTCACGATCTGTAAGGGGTGGTGATTTGGAGTTAGCACTGGTTCGCCACATGCAATCAATTGACTACTGTGTTAGGTTCCAGTGACTATACATATTCGGCAGCTTCACACAGTATCTGACGTGAAATACAGAGATGGTTCACTAGTTGCCAAGAGAACAAGATAAGGGTGGTATACACTAACAACTCGTCAGAAACAGTGTTCCTCTAACACGTAGTTCTCTAATCACAAAGGCAGACCACAAACCCAGAAACGAAATAGTAGTATGTTGGATGTCGGGTGGCGCTAAACACGGGGGGAGGGGCTCAATTAGGTTTCCAAACATCCTGTTCACGGGGTCAGGAAGAGTCTGACAACATTATTTGTTTGGTTTAACTCTCAGCCGAGACGGTAATGAAAAGGGTGAAACAGGAATTTACTGGAGATGGGTGATAATACCTTAAACCATCATCATGCGGGCGCATCACATGAGCCCGTTCGAACACATAGATGAGCACGATGGATTGTCCGGGTACCCGATTAGGCCATAAATGCCGCTGTCTGGCGAATAAAGCCCCTAATTCTCTTGGTGATAGTAAAGCTAAACCGCAAGTAGG